CCCTAATAGTGGCAGGAGAGGGTGCAACAATTGGAGGAGGGGCTCTCCCGCGAAGCGCCAAAACGGTCTGGAGGTAGGGGTGCCCTGATGTAAGGGGGGCGAAACTTCCTCGCCCCCACTGTCCCCGGGCACGATGCGGCTTCGCTGATCGGCCTCCGACGGCGGCTGTGTGGGGGACGGTGGTAGACGAGGGACTCCCGATGGCACCGAGGGTTTCCCCCGTGTCACGAGACCGGGGCGATGTACAGGACAGGCCGGGTCTTTCAAAATGACACATGTTTTCATATACTACGGAACTAAATGCACATAGTATGAAAATATGTTTCGTAAAGAATCTCATGAGACTAATTTGTGTTCTTTATAAAAAAAATCATGGACTTAGTCCAACTAAAACAAGTTTGACTTATGGCAAACCCAAAAGTTCAAGTATTTTAGAACGGCGGTAATACGTACTCCCTTAGTCCGGAAATACACGCCGGAGAAATGGATGTATATAGATGTATTTTAGTTCTATATATATATATTTTTTATCAATTTCCGTGAGAGTACTCCCTCCGTTTCTTTTTACTCTGCGTATTAGATTTCTCCAAACTGAAACTCTTCAAAGTTTGATCAAACTTATACCCCCTCCGTTTCTAAATATTTGTCTTTTTATAATTTTAAATGGCTACCACATACAGATGTATATAGACATATTTTAGAGTGTAGATTCATTCATTTTGCTCCGTATGTAGTCACTTGTTGAAATCTGTAGAAAGACAAATATTTAGAAACGGAGGGAGTATTAAAAAATATGAACATATACAATATCAAATACATATAATATGAAAATATATCTCATGATGGATCTAATGATAATGAATTTGTGTTGTGAATATCAATAATATTTTGTATAAACTTGGTCAAACTTTGGAGAGTTTGACTTTGAACAAAACTAATACACAAAACAAAAAGAAACGGAGGGAGTCTGTGTTTAACCGTGCGAATAGCTATTTATCCATTTCACCTAGCGGCTGAGGCTGAGACTAGGGCGAGCGACCCTGGCGACGACGGACGCAGCTCCTCTGACGTACGGCGCACTCGTTGACGTGTGGATCCGGACCCACGCGTCAGTGGCCCAACGTCAGGTGGCCGTATGTCAGGGGATCCGGCTCCGGCGACGACGTGATGTTACCGCAGGAAGAGGTAGCAAGGTTTGTGGGCGGGATTGCCGGCTTCGGAGTTCATGGTTGGGGTTTAAATGAAAGGTTGGAAGGGCGGCTTGCGCCAGACTGGGGCGGCAAGACAATGCACAACAACACCCGCCAACAATGTTAGAGTGTCTACAGCTGGACTAGGCAAATCCACAACATCCACATACGCGCCTAGACGCGACACTGGATACGTCGGATGATCCCACAGATGTTCTCCCTTGCAATCACATCCTTCACTTTCAAATTCTTAAATTCATGCAAACACATGTACGTTGATCATACACATGAATATCACACGGAAATAACATTTGTTCTTAGCAAAGAATGCATAGTTCAAATATTTTTATTTCAAGTGCATAATTTAATAGTTTCTTTGGTTTCCATTTTGGCTCCCACCTATGCTCCACAAGATCGTCGATTAGTTGCACGTGTATGTTTTCATCTCGAAGATGCCGACGTATCTCCTGAAAGTTCACAATATGCTCGACATCTTGTTTCCGGGGAAGGGGGGGGGGGGCAGACTTGTACTTTGTGCTTCTCAAAATCATCCGTTCGGACTGCCCCTTCACCCTCGTCGTCGACAATCATGTTGTGCAAAATGACACGAGATGTCATCAGCTGCCATAGTGTTTGAGATTCTCATCACATAATTGCAGCTCCACAAACAATACCTGAACGAGCTTGGAGCACTCTAAATGCTCTCTCCACATCTTTCCTAGCTCCTCCTTGCATTGTTGCAAGTGGGACCTTTTGTCGCCACGGGGATCGGATATGGTCTTGACAAACGCAGCCCACTAAGCATAGATACCATCAACAAGGTAGTATCCCATGTTGTAGTTGTGTCTATTAACGATGTACTTACACGGTGGAGCATCACCATCACAAAGTATTTTGACCAACGAATATCGCTAGGCATATTGATGTCGTTATGAGAACCAGAAATGCCAAAGAAAGCATGCTAAATCCACAAGTTCCTTGATGCCACTGCTTCGAGTATGATGGTGACATCTTTAGTGTGACCTTGGTGCATCTGGCGCGAACCTTTAGAACATCTCTTTCATTGCCTATGCATGCAATCGAGTGACCTCTCGCAGCTCCAATTGACATCAACCTCTCTGTGCCTAGTTGGTTCTCTTAGATACTCCACTCTAAACACCTTTACCACGGCTTGGGCAAATTTGACAGTGACATCAAGCCATGTGCTTTCTCCCATCCAGACCATCTCACCAATGGCATCCACGGCGATACCTAATACAAGCATTCTCAGAGCAGCCATGCATTTTTGCAAAGGAGAGACCAAAATTTTCTGCAACAACCTTTCAAAGAAGCACGGATCATGTGCCTCCATGCCCTCCATCACACCCAAGAATAAAGGTATGCTCATGTGGAAGCGACGCCGAAAAAATCCATCATGAAACTTTGGTTTGGGTTGAAATTAGAGTAGTCTTTGTAGAGCAGCAGTGTGCCAACGGTCCTATCTTGGTGTAAAATCGCCCGCCCCTTGATCGAACTCTTGAAGTTTATAATATGGTCCACTTTCTTCTCCATTTCTTCCTGGATGCTCATCATCATCATCATAACCTCTTCATTCGATGAATCCGACAAATCAAACTCCTCATCCGATGAATCCCTCGTTTTATCTACAAAAGAATAAAAAAAAAGTAACTCAGACATTTTGTAGAACACATAGAGGGCAAGGGGTATGACCGAAGGAGCAGGACATACCGCGACGGCGTCCAGTGCGGCACCGTGTATGGGGCGGGATGATGGAGAGAGGTTTTGTGCCAGTGGTGCAGTGTTGTGGGTTTGGGATGGCGACAGAGCTAGTGGTGACAGACTAGGGGATGGTCGGCGTGGATGAGGCCGAAGAGAGCAGAGGAAGATGGCGGATCGGGCTATGTCGGGAATGGTTTGAAGGAATTTGGCGTGGGTCTGTTCTCTCAGATCGGACGTGGCAGATGCGCTCGAGCCTTCTGATTTTCGCCCAAATGTGGGCTGGGTTTGAGAGGTGCCGGACAGCCTGGACAGCCTAAACGTGGAGCCGGTTCGAGGGGTCCAGCTGGGGCGCATTCTCACGACCGGTCACCGACCAGGCCATCCACTTGAATTTAAGGGGTCCGACTATAGATGCTCTCCGACAGTTCGGGCGGCGGCGGGCGGCCGTCAGGAGGAGAAAGAAGAGGGGCGGCCGGTCTGTGTGAAAATCGACTGAAAGTTACAGTACAAAATTTTCGGTCGCCTAGTCTGTAGGTGGTCCCTTTGAAATGTGAGCATCAAGACATGATGCGTGCGTATCCTGGTGGGTGGCGCGCACCACAACTCCACTCCACCACACCCCGAATTGGGACGCCAGGCAGAGGTCATGGGCAACTTCGGGGACACCACCCAGGATGCGTTCGCGAGGACGATCCCGGCATGATCGCGCCACCACAACAGTACGTCGCTTTCAGTTCAGGCTGGTCCAACAGGGAATCCAAGAACAAAACGTAGAATTTCGCAGCCCTCCGTTTTTGCAGCTTGTAAAAAACATGAGACCGTGTAGGATTGAGTCTCAAAAGTCAAAATTCAAAAAGTTCCCGGTAGATTATATTCTGAATTTGCCAGGAGCACTAGCTACTGCTCATCATCATAGAACATATTTTGCCAGACTAGTCTCGTTACCTGCAAGTCCCGAGGCCTTCAAATGGACCGGAAAAAAGGAGCAGCATCTGATGAGCAATATTTTACACGGTTCTTCTCTCTAAGCTACTAGTACCAAGTGATGAAGCGCTCAGTCCGCTTCAAGAATTAACAGTAGAACTATATAGCGGTAACGGAGAGGTCAATGATTGGCAAAGCTTTGACTGTCGGACTTGCCGGTTAGCTAGATCGCTGAGCTACGTCATGTCATCCTGCCTTCGCGCACCAACTTCTTCGGTGTTACTGGTAATCACTTCCTAAGCTGCTGTCAAAGACAAGGGTTTAGAGACAAACAAACGGTTATTAGTATCTGTCGATGCTTCGTTAAGATATAGGAATGCACAAGATAAATAATTGTTCTTTTGATCCAACTTACTGTAGCAATCGTAGCAGGTAGTAAGTAGCATGGGGAGAAAACAGTTGATGATGTTACAAAGCACTGGTAATAAATTGGGCTAGGTTGGTTAGCTCAACTGCCTGAAGGCTAGGTTGCTGTCACTGAAGTCATTGAACCGATTAAATTACGCCGAAGTCTTCTTAGTCAACTACCGCATGTCTAAACGTCGTACCTGTTTCATTACTGGCTGCGGTGTTTTTATTTACAGGGAGTCCAGGGTAAAGCTTGAAGTATCGACAATTTTTCACATTATGATGTCCATGTTTTGGGCACATCCTAGACAACATGACAGTAAGTGACACCGTCAGTTCAAACTATATTCTTTTAATCTAGCAATCAGGTTCGACCACACACCACAGTCCAACTCCTTAGGCTCAGTTTGTGGTTGCTGAATTATGTTGCGCTGAACTTTGTTTTTACTCCCTCGAGTCACTTATTTTGGGATGGAGGGAGTACAATCTACCGAGGGGAAATAGCCACGAAGCACGAACAACCTCGTTAGCCGAACCACAAAATAGACAAAATCTGGTTGGAAAAGTTGTATTATCATAATCTATCACGATGCCAAATGCAATCTTAGACTAAAAGGAGAAGCTAAAAGCAATGGTATGTTGTGCATGTGATCACACTTAAAGCATGTTTATCCTCCTTTTAAAAAACTTATCAGCATATATAATTATTTTTTATATGCTTGACTGATTGGCTCTTCATCCATACCAAGAAAAACTCACCTACACATGCCGTGTATTTGCTGGTACCATATCATGTGACTGCTCTTTGCTACGCGAGCATCCATCAAAATGAGTGTTCAGCATGGATGATTCTTGCCTTAATGAGTTCATCTTGTTTCCTTCAAGGTGGTGAAGGGGCATGGCATTAATATGAAAAGGTGTGGTATCCGCGAGACAAATGAAAATGCTGGCAACAACAATAGATAGTTAAATAATTTGTCACAAACCTGATGGATCAGCTCTGTCCTGAGCTGATGTTAGGTGATGTTTCAGCATTATATCCCCTCGCAACATCAACTTCAAAACAGAAGAATGCGTGTTGTGAGAAAAATCTTCCTGAAGCCTCAGTACAATAGAAGAGATAAGGTACTTGTGTTACCTCTGAGGATTCAGGCAACTGAAATGATTGAAGGTGGGACTGTGACGACTCCAAGTGAAACGGAGGCTCTGAAATGGTTGTTTTAGGACAGCTTGGTAACACAAGAGGCTGTGGTTGATTTTGTTGAGGAGAATTCATCGGATCGAATGGATGATGAGCTCCTGAACTTTGGTTTACAGGCGGGGCTACTGCCCCGGAGCTTGGTGCCGCCACATTCCTCCCACTGACACCAAGTGCTGCAAACATTTGTGATGCTTGCATAGGCTCAAGCGCTGCAGACAGATACGATGGGTTCAAGTAAACGCCGTTTCTCATAGACAGCATCTGTAGGGAAAAATTATCGGGGCAAAAACTCTGTATTAATACTTGCATTTGAGCTGTATATTTAAATTTTAAACGTGCAGTTTAATTATTAGCACCTACCAACTGAATATAGCAAGCTAGCTAGCATAAATGTCAATCGGCACGGCATTTGCCCAAGTGCATCCACACTAGGAAACTAGCCCTAACATATCAACATTTTGATCAGCATTACAAATCCCAGTGTGAACCCAAGGAAATCAACAGTTCTATAAGATATGGCTAGAAAACAGAAAGTGGCCACCGCTGTGCTATGTGGAAATTTTCCCCAGCATTAATTACTTCGCTATGGATTGGATAAAGAATCAATAAGGACAACACCCACAGTAAAACACTTTACTCCAACGTCAATGTTTGCAGTTTGGACCATCAGTTAAAATAAATGCACTAGCAAGTTAGCCTCTACTCAGACATCAACCAGCCATCCAGAGATGCATTTACTGACCTGTACTTGGAGCTGCAGTTGCTTCAGATACTCAATGGCCTCGTCGAGCATGGATGCCTTGTCAGTCTGCAACCACAGAAGCACGACGAAACTCAGTAGCCCCGAATTCAGGGACGAAGAAAGAAAAATGAAGTTGTACAGTGGTTGGCTTTGTTGTGCTGCCGGCGGACCTTGTTGGAATTGGGTATCAGGCTCTGCAGCGCCTTCATCTTCTCGTTGATCCTGCTCCTCCGCCGCTGCGCCCCAATCAATCAAGCAAGCAAGCGAACAATGAGCGGCCGAAAAACGTACAGGGCGAGAAGAGCAGAAAAGCAGAGCGAAACTCAGGGCAGCCACCTTCTCGGAGAGGTTGTGCACCTCGGCGGCGCGGGTGCGCTTGCTGCCGGACCCCCCGCCCCCGCGCGGGCGGTCGGAGGACGCCCCGTGCGGCTCGGGCTCGGACGACCCGCCCGCCTCGCTCTCGTAGAACGCGCCTCCGGCGGCACCCGCAGCCGCGAGCTCCGCGTACTCCGCCGCCTGCTGGTGCTGCTGCTGCTGCTGGCCCAGCGCGGCCGCGGCCGCCGCCGCGTGGAAGGCCGCCCCTCCTCCGAACATCTGGCGCCGCACCTCCTCCTCCTCCTCCTCCCGCCGCCGCCGCCGCTCCTGCTGCATCAGCACCAGCTCCCGCACCGCCCCGCCCCCTCCAAACCCGCCGTCCCGCGGCTCCTCCATCCCACCTCAGGGCTTCGCCGCACAGATCACACGCCCGCGAGCGGAACCCCGGGGCTGCTCGCCACGGAGCGGGAGGGGAGAGGGGTGGGGAGCGGGGGAGGAGGAGAGAGAGGGGAGGAGGAGGAGGTGGCGTCGCTTCTTTTTAGTGTTGCGCCCATGCCGCGCTGCTGCTGCGCTGCCGCGGCGCGGGTGGTGGCCTGCCTCGCGCTTGCTTGCGCCCGCCCCCTGCTTGCCCGCTTCGGGTGCCGTTTGTTTTTTGGCGCAAACTTTTTCTCGTCGCCTCGGGTGCGGCCGTGCGGGGGTGGCGTGTCAGCTAGCGGGCCGGATGGACTGTTTGGTTTTCCTCTTCTGCCTGCTGCTGCTGCTGCCTCTGGGTCTGTGCTGTGCTGTGGAGGGGCTTTCGGTTGAGTGTGGGCTTGGGATACCTGACCTGACCTCAGCTCATCGGTTCCTTCCTTTGCCTCTGGGTTTCTGCGTCCGGGGTCTATGTGGTACGGCGCTGTGGTGTAGTACGTGGTGTCTGCGTCGAGTGATGCAATCCTCTCACGTACTCCATGTATTTCTTTCAAAATAATAATTCAAGTTCTAGTACGTTTGTACCAAACCATAGAAAACTTTTCTAACAGTTTTTTTTCCCGAGAGTACGCAAATTGTGTACAATACCTTTACAGAAGAAGCGAATTACAAGTACAGGACGGCTACAACTCGTTGCGAACAACGAGCGTAGCGCCCACTCCACAACCGGCTAGTCCAAAGACAACCATCAACAACGACACAACTACGACGCAAAAGACCCTACCCTAATACGAAAACCTCGCCGCGTCTCGACCGATGCCAGTTACCTCCGAAGAACAACAGCTCCCACCAAGCTTCCCTCGTCAACGCACCATCCCCCCTTGATGCCTAAAGGAGGTGGCAAGAGGATGGCGGGACTCGATCCGACCGAGACAGGCACCGTCTTGGATTCACCACCAACGACCGTACATTGCGCCGGAGAAGGACGAACAAGGCATCGACGAACACTGGTGGAGCGCAACATAGGACCTCCAAACCATGTCTCCTGGCACGATGCTCCCAACAAAGGTACGACCTCGAAGACGCCGCCATCGTGCCGATTCCACACCGGATCAAGGCTTTCGCTCGGAGACAACTGCTAACACCAAGACGACAAGGGAAATGGGACACACTCGGCAACGCCTCCAGGGAAGGAAATGACACCCGCAGGTGCCATCGCCGCCGGCCTGGCCAAAACCGGACAGGACTTTCATCTATAATGTCACTCATCTCCACACCTCAAGGGTTGGGGAAGCACTGTCCATGAACCCTCGCACTGTCGTTACCACAGCAAATTACTGACGAAGCTGCACAGTCATGATCCTCCCACACCTGCACTGCCGAGAGAACACGCCACCATGAATCTAGACGAGGAGTTGTCGCTTCCTACCACGTTGTGCAAGGGCCTGCTCCACCACATCGGCCTTCACCCACACCAGGGGACTGCCAGGCGATGGAAACAACCCCAAAGACCCCGATCGAATCTGAGACGATTCAGATCCGGCCCGCACCTCCATCCACAAATCCAGCGCCCACGGAGCACCACCGCAAGCCCCTCACGCGGAGGCAACCGTTCGCTCGCTGCCCGCCAGGATCTTCTTCCTGGCCGGGCCTCCTCGGCGCCGCCGCCTCCATGGTTGAGCTCGCGCCGTCGCCACCATCAGCGCCCGCACACTACCAACCTCCACCATTCTGCAGCAGCTCGCCTGGATTCGCCTCTCCATCGCGTTATCCGTTGTGCGTCGGCGACCATCGCCGCGAATCGCGTCGCCGATCCCCCCACCACCATGGCCGCCCCCGGAGACGTCCCTCTCCGTGCGAAGGGGATCCATAGGAGGGCGCCGCCAGCGGCCGGAGGAGGTAATCTGAGGGTCTGGTTGTTCTAGGGTTGGGGGAGCCTCCGGAGCCGCACGCGCGAGCGACCCGGGAGGCGAGGGCCTGTTGGGCCTGGTGTGTTCTCAACTGGCAGATTTTCTAACATCACCAAATACACCGAGTATGGAAAATATCTACATCGTCGACGAAAAAGCCAATACTTATGGTGAGTAGATCCATTAGTTCTTGGGGACATGGGACAAGTCTTGTTGCTAGTAATTATGTGAAGTTGAATGCGTTTAATGTTTTTGATATGTTGTGTTGTCCTTCCTCTTGTGGTGTAACGTGAATGTTGACTACACGACACTTTACCATCATTGGGCCTAAAGGAAGACATTATCGAATTAGTTTATGATGATGGGTTGCGAGAGTGATAAAAGCCCAAACCCTAGTTTATGAATTATTCCATAAGGGGTTGTTTTGGATCCTAATGTTCAGTGCTATGGTTAGGTGTATCTTAATTACGTTTCTTGTATTTGCGGATGCTTGCATGGAGGGTACAATCATAAGTAGGTAATTGTTCAAGTAAGGACAATACTTACCTACGGTCCACCCACACAACACTTATCAAATCAACGAACGGTAACTTCATGAATCATGGTGAAAGTAACTTGATGAAATTCCCGTGTGTCCTTAAAAGAGTTTTAGCTATTATAAGAAACACCACCGGCTTGTCCTTAGCATACATACCGATTGGGCCACTTGTTGTACTCTATTAATTGATGGAAATATGCCCTATAGGCAATAATAAAATGGTTATTATTATATTTCCTAAATCATGATAAAGGTTTATTATTCATGCTAGAATTGTATTGATCGGAAACTTAGATACATGTGTGAATACATAAATAAATACCGTGTCCCTAGTAAGCCTTTACTAGACTAACTCGTTGATCAAAGATGGTTAAGGTTTTCTAACCATGGACATGAGTTGTCATTTGATAACGGGATCACATCATTAGGAGAATGATGTGATGGAAAAGACCGATCCGTTAGCTTAGCATAATGACCGTTCAGTTTTATTGCTATTGCTTTCTTCATGTCAAATACATATTCCTTCGACTATGAGATTATGCAACTCCCGGATACCGGAGGAATGCCTTGTGTGCTATCAAACGTCATAACATAACTAGGTGATTATAAAGATGCTCTACAGGTATCTCCGAAGGTGTTTGTTCAGTCGGCGTAGATCGAGATTAGGATTTGTCACTCCGAGTATCGGAGAGGTATCTCTGGGCCCTCTTGGTAATACACATCATAAGCTTGCAAGCAAACGACTAAGAAGTTAGTCATGAGGTGATGTATTACGGAACGAGTAAAGAGACTTGCCGGTAACGAGCTTGAACTAGGTATGAGGATACCGACAATCGAATCTCGGGCAAGTAACATACCGATGGACAAAAGGAATTACGTATGTTGTCATAACGGTTCGACCGATAAAAGATCTTTGTAGAATATGTAGGAGACAGTATGGACATCCAGGTTCCGCTATTGGTTATTGACCGGAGAGGTGTCTCGGTCATGTCTACATAGTTCTCGAACCCGTAGGGTCCGCACGCTTAACATTGGATGACAATATGGTATTATATGAGTTATGTGATTTGGTGACCGAATGTTGTTCGAAGTCCTGGATGAGATCACGGACATGACGAGGAGTCTCAAAATGGCGGAGAGGTAAAAATTGATATATATGACGATGGTATTCGAACACCAAAAGTGTTCCGAAGGGTACCGAGTACATATCGGGTCACCAGAAGGGGTTTCGGGCACCCCCCGCAAAAGATATGGGCCTTATGGGCCAAGAGGGGAAACACACAAGCCACAAGGGGCTGGTGCCCCCCCCCCCATATGGGCCGGCCTAGGAGGAGAAGGAAAGAGGGGAAGGGAAAGGAAAGAGTGGAACAGGAGGAAAATCCTATGCGCCGCTCATTGCGGCAAAATGTCGACATAATGCACACGCAATACCCCCCATCGCTAACAATGGGATAGCCCATTAAACCAGAGCGCCATCCGGTTTTGGGAACCATCTATAAGGTTCCCTGAACCGTTTTTTCTTTTTTGACCGTTTTTCCTGTTTCTTCTTGGGGTTTTGTTCTTTTTATTTTTTCTATTTTTCTGTTTTCCGTTTTTTTTTCTTTTTTTGTTTCTCCTGAAAATTGTTCAGAAAGTCCAAAATTTGTTTGTGTTTCTAAAAAGTTCCAAATTTCAAAAAAAAATCGTGTTTAAAAAAATGTTCGAAATTCAAAAAATGTTTGCATTTTTCAAAAATTGTTCGGGCATTTAAAAAATTGTTGTTGTTTTTACAAAATTTATTCGGGATGTTTTTGTTCAATTTTTTTACATTTTTTTAGAGAATGTTCATGTTTTTAAAAACTGTTCATGTTTTCATTTTTCAGAAGTTTCAAAAAATGTGCCAGTTTTAAAAATTGTTCACAAGTTTTTAAAAAATCGTGTTTGGAAATTTTGTTCAGGAATTTCAAAATATGTTCACCTTTCCAAATTTTGTTTTGAAATTTGTAAACATGTTCTGGTTTAAAAAAAATGTTCAAGATTTTCAAAAAATGTTCTTGTTTTTCGAATATTTTAAGCTTTTAGAAATTTGTTCACAAACTTGGTAAGTGTTTGCCTTTCACACAACATTCTGTTTTTTGAAAAAATATTGCTTTCAAAATTCCTAAACTAATTCGGATCTACGCAACTTGTTTGTTCTTTAAATTTATTACTAGCAATTTGTTCAGTTTCAACCGCTAGCTCAGTTGGCAAGGACTCATGCTCTGTAGCAGAGCGTCGTGTGATCGAATCCCCGCTAACGTGTACTCCCTCCGTCCGGAAATATTTGTCATCAAAATGAATAAAATGGGATGTATCTAGATGTATTTTAGTTCTAGTTCTAGATATATCCTTTTTTGTCCATTTTGATGACAACTATTTCCGGACGGAGGGAGTATAAGTTTTTTTAGCTACAGTGCACTTTTGATTTTTCTGTTGCTGTCGCTGTCTTCTGAGGCCGGCCCAGTCGAAGTCTCCCCACGCAGAGAGTGTCACATAGGAGGGAAATCCCTATTCGCCGC